TGTGAATTACGCAACTAAGCATGACATACTTTGTTTCTGTAGTTGCTATGAACATATGCTAAGTTGTTATGTTATCTTCATAAGAACTAAATTACAGCGCTCGTGTCGACGGCAGCGTTGATGAACAGTGCACATGCAGCTTTCGACAATCTCCACCTTTGAGATTGTAGATATTGCAATAATTGATTGTCTTGCTGTAAAATGTACAATTAATAAACATCTTTATTTCCACAGCTGTGCCTAGGTGCACCAACTGCTAACCGGAAAAACTGCTTTTGAATGCTGTCAAAGGACTGCATATGTGTTTCAATCCTGTACACTTCAAGGGAAAATAATTTTTACAGGGTTTGTCACTGAGTGGGGCAGAATACGTAATTATTAAAACTGGCCTTCAACGCCTGCCTAAATATTGTATTCATTTTGGCTCGTGAGATTAATTTCGCCGCTGAGCACTCAAATGGCCATCGTATGTAGAACAATGCATTTTGCAACGTTTTACTAGCCAAAAGGATTTAATACATGTAGTTAATGAATACAAAGAGCATTCAATTTATAAATTACCCGAACCACTGCTCGTCCATTTGGATTGTGAGTGATCAGTGAACGTTCATTGTGTGTACCTTGAAACATATCGTATATATATTACGTGATACAAATTATGCTCGATGAGTAACAAGGAATGTATCAGATATGATATCAGAGGCAGGCTCATTTTAACTTAGATTCAGTATGCAATACAGAAAAGCAGATGTAGGGCGGCCGTGGACCCTTCTAGAAGGCTCCATCCGCCTGAACTGTGAGGGGCGGCACTTCTCGTTTCGCGCGCCCTCCCCCAAGCTAGCGTTTCCTGAAATAAGGAAGGTGCAAGATCCGTAAGACAGCGGGGATAAGCACAACCAGTTCGCAATTTCGACCGTGACAGTCAAGCAGCAACGACCGAGGTTGTACCACTTAATTCTTCAATGCGCTTCTTAGCCAACGTACTAGTTATTTTGGTCTATGTGCTCGCTTTAGTCGTTGCAACTGACGCCATCGAGACAGCCGAGAAAGACTACAATAATGTGGAGAGTGTTGATACTCATTTACTCGAGGAAAGGAAATTTGGTATAGGAGGAGGGGACATCGACAGGGGAACCTCTCACTCGTGGACGGCTTTCAAAACGTGGTTTAAAGGATGGTTCAAGAAAACGTTCTTATTCTGGAGGAAGCACGAAAAGACTCGTCGACTTCGTGACTGAGCTCATCACAAGGGAGGTCGTTAAAGGCGTTGTGCAGAAAGAATACAATCTTGTCAAGAAATGCGCACATATATTGTCTTGCGTAAGTCTTGCTGTAGGGCACACTAAAAATGATGCACGCGACAATGTTGGCGATTCCGATGTCCTCCCACGCGGTGACCTCCTCGGCCTGGCGCTCAATGATGTCCTCCTCAGATCTGCGCCACTGTTGTAGAAGAGCAAAGGTCGCCATATGCGGAAGGACGGTCAATGAAGCCCAAAAATGACTTTTTGCTGCTCTCAGCATCATTTGGTTGATAGACGGGTTCTCAGCGTGGTAGCCACATATCTGCAGGTGGGGTAATAGGAAAATTGACAGGCCTCCTCCACTTTCAAACTTGGCTAGCCATGTGTCTGTGGAGGCACTGAACTCGTGCACACAGTCGCTAATCCATGCTGGTACTGTATCGCAGCATTCGAATCGGGGAAAATTAACGCGTACCCAAAAGCGTCCTATTCCTAATAAATTGGCCTAAACATATTGTGG